TTTTAAGTTTGCAGATGATCAGATAAAAATTTCATATCAACAACAAAAGACTATTCAGTCATATTTTCACCATGCCAAAATATTGGCAAGGTTAAAAAGAAAACCACTGAAAGCAAGCAATTACTGCTCAGAAAACTGCATTCAGTAACTACCAGATAGTTCTTTTTTTTTTCTTACCACATTGGATGGTGATACATTGGTGGCAGTCGTGGACTTGATACAGGTGTACAGTTATATGACCTCATTATTCTCTCTGCCAGCAGAAAGTTACGAAATAAACTAGCCACAAGAAGATCCTGACGAAAGAGCTTCTGAAACAATTCTGAAAAAAAAAATCAAAGCAAGAAATATGTAGAAGTAAAAAATGTGTAATAATAAAAACATGTATATTTGCATTCAATAATATAATATAATAATAATTAGGGCCATAAATAAATGTACAGGGTTTATATGTTGACATATTTATAATAGAGTAGTGAGGATCTTGATAATACATTATGCAAATTGTGTATCAATATGCAAATTATTAAAATGATTGGTCACCTCTTGGAAGTACATTCCACGCAATAGTGTCTGTGATGGCAGTGAATATCCAGTTCAGTTCACCAAGAGGTGTCCTCCTATCATTCAAACGACCAGGAATCCTGCAAAACAGATAATTGACACCATCAACATAAGTACAGTATGAGAATATTCTATTTAGTATAATAGTAAAAGCATTCTCACAGAGTAAGTTGTCATGTGAGAAAATTACACACAATAGAGATATGCAACAATCATAAAGGAGTGACCAGGACTGAGATTGTCATAACTATTCATCTATGGTGGGGACTTACTTGTCAATAAGCTCCAGTGTGACACCAGGAACCAATTTACTGCTTTTTTGATTACAGAACCTACAATCAGAACAGGTTTGTTATATTTCAGAATATGAAATTTCCACTATCACCACTCTAGAGGCACACCAACTTTAACATCATACACACAGGGACAGGGACTGTCGCATATACCATATTATTTCTATTGCAAGTGCACTCCCAATAGAAGTGCACACCAACCAAAACTTACATTTATGGTATGATGAATCATTAATTAAATGATTAATTGACCATTAACACAATGTCATTTACATAATTACACACTCTATAGCAAATATGGTAATTTTTAATGTATTGATAACTTACTACAGTAAAATGACTAATTCACTGTTTTATCATTTAGATATTGTGTTCCATGCTCAATTTTACATATTCACTTGGTTTTAATTTAGCGCATTTTCCAGTAAGCTAAATAAGCAAAATTAAAACCTGGCGAA